GCCTTCCGGCTCAGCTCCCTCTTCACCAAGACGGTCCGGTGCAGCGCCTGCTTTACTGCTGCAGCCGCACCGATCCGTCTGTCGATCTCCTGCTCCATCTTACCCTCACTCGTGAACAAGACCCCAAGATACTTGAACTCCTTCGCTTGAGGTAGGCACTCCGTCCCCACCTGGAGGGAGCAATCCACCGGTTTCCGGCAGAGCACCATGGCCTCAGATTTGGAGGTGCTAACTCTCATCCCCGCCGCTTCACACTCGGCTGCAAACCGCCCCAGTGAATGCTGGAGGTCACGATCCGAGGAGGCTAACAGGACCACATCATCTGCAAACAGCAGAGAGGCGATCCCGAGACCCCCGAACCTGACGTTCTCCACCCCCAGGCTGCGCCTAGATATCCTGTCCATGAAAGTCACGAACAGGACCGGAGACAAAGGGCAGCCCTGGCGGAGGCCAACACCCACCGGGAACGTGTCTGACTTATTGCCGAGAATGCGGACACAGCTCCTACTGCAGTCGTACAGAGACTGGATCGCCCGTTGTAATGGGTCCGGCACCCCATACTCCCGCAGCACCCCCCGAGGGACCCGGTCGAAAGCCTTCTCCAAGTCCACAAAGCACATGTAGACTGGTTGGGCAAACTCCCAGAACCCCTCCAGTAGTCTTGCGAGGGTAAAGAGCTGGTCCACTGTTCCACGGCCGGGACGGAATCCGCATTGCTCCTCCTGTATCTGAGGTTCGACAAACAGTCGGAGCCTCCTTTCCAGCACCCTGGCATAAGCCTTCCCCGGGAGGCTGAGTAGTGTGATACCCCGGTAATTCGAGCACACTCTACGGTCCCCCTTTTTGAAAATGGGAACCACCACCCCGGTCTGCCAGTCCATGGGCACTGATCCCGACCCCCATGCGACATTGAAGAGGTGTGTCAGCCAGGACAGCCGAACTATGTCCAGCGCTTTCAGCATCTCAGGGCGGATCTCATCCACCCCTGGCTCCTTGCCACCAAGGAGCTTTTTGACTACCTCAGCGGCCTCTGCCAGGGATATGGGTGAGCCTCCCCCTAGATCTTCAGCCGCTGCCTCCTCTGCAGAGGACATGTTGGTCGGGTTTAGGAGTTCCTCAAAGTGCTCTTTCCACCGCCCGACGATGTCCCCTGTCCGGGTCAGCAGTCCACAATAGAGGCTTTGAACATGGTCCATTCGGATTCCATGTCCCCAACCTCCCTCGGGATGTGAGAGAAGTTCTTCCGGAGGTGGGAGTTAAAGACTTCCCGGACAGGGTTCTCCGCCAGACGTTCCCAGTTTACCCTCACTACACGTTTGGGCTTGCCGGGTCTTTCCAACCGGTTCCCCTGCCATCTGATCCAACTCGCCACCAGGTGGTGATCAGTTGACAGCTCTGCTCCTGTCTTCACCCGAGTGTCCAAGACATACGGCCGCAAATCAAATGATACGATTACAAAGTCGATCATTGATCTCCGGCCTAAGGTGTTCTGGTACCAGGTACACTTATGAGCCACCTTATGTTCGAACATGGTGTTCGTTATGGCCAAACCGTGGCAAGCACAGAAGTCCAATAACGAGACACCATTCGGGTTCAGATCGGGCAAGCCGTTCCTCCCAATCACCCCCCGCCAGGTTTCTCCATCATTGCCCACGTGAGCATTGAAGTCCCCCAGGAGAACTATGGAGTCGGTAGGTGGCGCCCTTTCCAGGACCCCTCCCACCGACTCCAAGAAGGCCGGATACTCTGAACTGCTGTTTGGTGCGTAAGCACAAACCACAGTCAAAGCCTTGCTCCCCGCAACCAGTAGGCGCATGGAGGCGACCCTCTCGTTCTCCTGGGAGAACTCCAACACAGCGGCGCTCAGCCGGGGCTCGTGAGTATCCCCACTCCCGCCCGGCGCCTCTCACCCTGGGCAACTCCGGAAAAGGACAAAGTCCAACCTCTCTCCAGGAGCTTGGTTCCAGAGCCAGCGCTGTGTGTGGAGGTGAGTCCAACTATATCTAGCTGGTATCGCTCCACCTCCTGCACCTGCTCTGGCTCTTTCCCCGCTAGCGAGGTGACGTTCCACATCCCTAGAGCTAGTCTATGCTGCCGGCGATCGGCTCGCCCAGGCCTCCCGCCTGACCCGCCGCCCGGTCTGCATTGCACCCGACCCCGATGCTTGTCCCTGCGGGGGTGGTGGGTCCACAGGGTGGCTGCTCCATGCTGTTTATTCGGGCTGAGCCCGACCAGGCCCCATGGGCGAAGGCCCCGGCCACCAGATGCTCGACGAGCTCCCCTCCTGGGTCTGGCTCCGGGAGGGTGCCCCGGTTTCCCTGGTCCGGGCAAGGTGGCTATAGTCCGTGGGCTGCTTATCATTAGGGTCGTTTGAACCGCTCTTAGTCTGGGCTCTCCCCCGAGACCTGTTTGCCTTGGGAGACCCTACCAGGGGCTAATGCCCCGGACAACATAGCTCCCAGGATCACTGAGCCACTCAAACTCCTCCACCACGTGAAGGTGGCGATTTGCGGAGGAGAACCGTCAATTATTCTCAAAAATTCATCAACATCAATACGTCGGTCTGTAGAAGTGGAGAGAAGAACAGATATAAACGAGTGAGTTCAGAGGTTTGAGATGACTGATGCTCCTGTGGAGCTCTGCAGGGATCACATTCAGAGAACACATTCTGATTCGTGGAAGCAGCAGCAGTAGTATTATGATGAATGATGTATGTATGTGGGCGATTGTGGCTAAGTGGATAGCAGGGCCGTCTTTCAATCGGGGGTCGGGGGTTCGAGCTCCGGCTCCGCTAGTTGCATGTCGATGTGTCCTTGAGCAAGACACTTAACCCCAAAATTGCTCCCGTAGCTGTGCCTACGGTGTAGAAATGTGATAGACTCTGAATTGTAAGTCGCTTTGGATAAAAGCATCTGCTAAATGACTGTAATGTATTTCTTTCCTCTGGGGAAAGATCTGCAGCTTTGCTCTCATTTGAAGCTCTGAACATGTGAACACGGTAGTGAAGCGGTCTCAACACTCTTTATTTAAAACATTAGTTTACTTCTAAACTGGTGTTTCAGGAGCTTTTTCAGTGCATCTGGACCTACAGAGGTTCCTGCATGAGGCCTGATGTTTCCACGTTAGTCCCAGCTTCAAACCAGACCTTCAAACCAGACCTTCAAACGTAACATTAAAGGGTTGAAGGTTTGATGGAGGAGCGGCGGCGTGGGTGTGAGTCAGCGGTGCCGGTGGCAGAGTGTCGACAGGAGGATAAGGTCCCTCTGTGGACGATCTGTAGAACTTTCTGTCTCTACCAGGAGCTGAAGTTTCCCGCCCGAGGCGTGGAGACCAACCCGAGCTCCTGGCCCTGGTTCTACCGGATGAACGACGCCATGGAGGGCCGCTTCACCGGGGCGGCACCCATCCTCACGCCCATCGTAGAGGACGAGGACGAGGAGTGCGAGCCGCTGTCGCCGGCGCCCAAGAAGAGAGCCCGCCGCAGCCGGGGGGGGATGGCCGAGTTCCTGACGGAGTCGGAGATGGACCTGCTGGTCGACAACGAGGACAAGAACGGATCGGCGTCTCTGGGGGATCTGCAGCGGATGGCCGAGTTCACCTATAAACGTGAGCATGTAGAGGAGCATGAAGTCTCAGAACTGTACTTAAAGGAGCAGTGTGTGGCGTTCAGGGACATCTAGTGGTGAGAGTTCAGATTACAACAACGTGCGCGTGTACTTCCTGTAGATTATGTAAAAACCTGAAAGTCTCCCTCGAGCCGGTTCAAGATGGCCGACTCTATGAAACAAACTGTCCCTTTAAGAGCTGTATTGCAGTAAACTACTCTCGCTGACTGAGTCATTGACGTTAAAGTGATGAGATGTATTGAGTTCCTGACCTCTGACCTCCATCCCAGTGACGGAAGATGACACCAGGCGACTCATTGAGCTACGAGCTGCTAACGAGTCTCTGTTCACGGGGAGGAGGAACACGGCCAAGCCGGCCTGGAGGTAAAGGAGCACAACGTCTGATCTGGACTGGGGGGGGGGTATAATCCTCATCCAGCTGTACCCGAGGCCTACATAGTGACGAGTCCTCGTGTCATGTCAGTAATGAGTTTGTCCACAGGGGGATAGTGAAGGAGATGGGTCTGACGGGGAAGATCACACCGGACCAGGTCGCCAAGAAGTGGGACAACCTGAAGACCAAGTTCAAGGTGACGACCTGCCCCGTCTCACCTGTGCTGTTAGTCTACCTGTTCAGATGAGATCAGCTGAGAAACGTCCACAACAGTTCAACAACACTGACGTTTGGGTTCGTTTGTGACGTCTGAGATGTGAATGTTTTATTGGTAAAGACGTCATAATAATAATAAATATACTGACGTCCATTAGATGGTTATAGGGCGTCTGCTGACAGTTAGAATCACTTGTTATGGGAACATAAAATGTAGCTGTGATTGTGGGCGGAGCCAGAACTAGTTTTGATAATCGATTTCATTTTCCATCCTCTGGGCTTTTTTTTTTTTTTTTTCTCCTGTCACTTTACTCTGTGCTCTATCTATATATATATATATATATATATCTCTATATATATATATAT